TTGTAACTGCTGTTGCTGGTGTCTTCTGCTAACTCAGCTCATTTACTTTTCCCAAAGATTGGCAGTTGTTAACTCTGACTTCTCTCAAGTTACCTTCCAGCCTATCCATTAACAGTGCTGTTTGGCAACTACTGATGAACTTTGGCAACGTCAGCAACCTGGGGTGAACTATTAAAGTGCACACAAATCAGTCCTGTAATCCTCTCTCACTCTCTTGACAATCTCCAGAATGACAAGGGATGGATATCTTTTCCAAGGTATGTCTCCAGTATTCTCACTGTCTAACTGATCTCTTGCTCCAAACTGATAGCCGTCTGCAATCTCCAACGCCTTGAGGCCATCGTGCTGCTCAAGATCACACAAAATGGTTCAAAGGGTCCAGACCCGAAATGTCAGCTTTCCTGCTCCTCTGATGTTGCCTAGCCTGCTGTGTTCATCCAGCTCTACACTTTGTTATCACACAAAATGGCTGTCAGCTTTGTGTTTTGGCTCAGCAGGAGTGAGCAAATTCTTCAGTGTTTCATATACTTTTGAGCCTGTTTCAGTCAGAAGCATCACCCTTTTCCTTTCATCACTGCTTCATTTACAGCTGAATGATCAATAACATCCATGGTATCGTTAACAGTGAAAAACCATCACAAATGCTGGAAGTCTCTTGGTTGTGACTGCACACTCCCAGTCTCCTAACAATACAACGTTGATGTTTCCACCTTCAAAGGCTAGTCCAGTCATGTATACAAATGGCCTTTCCACGAAGACCATATTTTTAAAACTATTACTTAGCAAAACAACAAAAAATCCTTTTAATTCCTCTGCTGGCTTGCTCTAAACTGTCAAATCCAAATTTGTTTGATGATAGTATTCATGACCCACCTCATTACCAAATGTGATTTTGTTTTGCAGGACAGAATAAAATTTGTGCAGCAATCTCAGAGACAGAAATCACAAACCCTGGTACTACCTCTGGCCTGGGCCCTTGACCCAAACACTGTGACGCCTCCCCTAGCCCAAGCACCATAGACCCAATTGGAATCCCTGGCTCTGGTTATTGAGCCCTCCCCAACCCATCTAAAACACCAATTTAACACTGATTTATCCTGGTGTGTGCACATATACAACACCACAAGAGGGTACTATCACACCAGTGCATCACTCCAGTCCAAGCCAAAATTGGCTCATGATATATCACAACTTTAACTTTGTATCTGGAGCTGACACAATCAGACGTACCTCCATAACTCCCTGAACTTCAATCAGAGACAGCCAGACACAAAAAAATATAACTAGCCTCATTGGATTCAACCTGACTCTAACTAAAGATTGAAAGAACTGCGGATGCTGTAAATCAGGAACAAAAACAGAAGTTGCTGGAAAAGCTCAGCTGGTCAGGCAGCATCTGTGAAGAAAAAATCAGAGTTAACGTTTCGAGTCCAGTGACCCTTCCTCGGAATCAGTTTGGAGTCTTAAAGGGGTATGCAATGTATGGTAATGGGGTTGGTTAGCTCAGTTGGCTGGATGACTGGTTTGTGATAATGAGTGATGCTAACAGCTTGGGTTCAATTTGCATACTGGCTGACATTACCATAAAAGTTCTGCCTGAGGTATGATGACACTTAGATTAAGCTCCCTACTAGTCATTCCCGTCTAATGATGGAGCTGCCAGCTGGAATTGTGGCAACTTTATCTTTAAACCATGAATGTTGAATAATCATAGTGTGTGATCCCTTCTTTTATCACCATTTGTTAAAGCATGTTTACAATAAATAGATCTGTTAATAATGAAATCTGGGTGTGATTTGCTTCTGTCTGGAATAGCAATCAGTCAGGCACATTGCTCATCTTGGTGGATTAATTGAGTATTTATACATTTGTGACACCTTGTGGAACAGCAGGGCTCATTGTCAGTGTGCTCTAACTATTGGCAACGTGACCATTCAATTTCTAACAAATGTTATTTTGAATTCAGCCTTAAAACCCAGAGTTAGTTGACAATGTCATTGGTCAATTTTGCTTATTCAAAGTACAGCATCCAGCAAAATAATAAGAATTGGTAGCCCATTATTTTTCATTCTAAATATGGTTTCACTTAGCAGAGCTACCTTTGTTTGCTTTTGTATTAGCGTCATAACAAGAACTACAGGACAGCTTTATTTTCAGATGTGTATATTTCCTATCAGCAACTTGTTGTGCAAGGAATTAACCATGGCGTGTTTCCAAGTTTGGTTTCTCCTCTGTTTACAAAAAAAAATCTTAGGTGTATGTTTTACTGAATGGTAAATGTTAATCTAATATTCCTGTGTTAATCCCCCAATCAGGTTTTGAATTAGACTTTATTGTCATGTGTACTCAAGTACAGAAGTACAGGAGCACAGTAAAAGGTGTACAATGTTGTCATTCCTGGCACCATCTTAGGTACAAAGGTACCTAGGCCCAAAATCTTAGGTACAGAAAATAAAGAAACATAGTCAAAAGCTAAACATTACAGTCCTTCTTAATATAAAGTAGAAAAATAAAGAAATAAAGTCAAAACTTAAAATGGGCTTCTTAGGTTAAATATTAATTCAAGTACCTAATTTAAACTGAAGCAATCAAATATTTCCCAGCAAAAATAAATTAGATTATTATATTTTATGTTACGTTTATGTTTATGTTATATTTTACCTTATATTTATGATATTTTTAACTGTCCTCCTGGGAACTGAGCTTTGGTTGGATTTGCTAGTTGTTGTTGTTGCACCAGTCATTCCAGGCAGAGGCTGTTGTTGACACAATTTGTTCAGTAATGTCCTTCACAACACATGTCCTTTACTGGACAAACTCCAGATTTCTCAATGGTAGGATCTAGAGCCCCTGCTCACTCAGTGGCCAAACCTTCTAACCTCAGTAATGGTGTGTGTGGCTTCAAGCCATGATTGCACACAATTGCTTTGCAAAACAACGAGTACCATCTCTAAGCATTAATCTACCTACTGAAAGGAAGCCTCTGCTGACTGGGTTATCAAGATGCTGATAGACTTAGATAAAATATACTATAAATACTGGCATGAATATGGGTTGAATGCCCTGTTTCTGTTCTGAAAATGCAATGTAGTTCATACATATTTTCATTCAGATTTTTATGGCTGCCATAAAAAATATATTGACATAATCCTCAATCTACTAAAGAAAGCGTATTGCCCTAACAGGGGAAAGAGTGGCACAGTGGTTAAATCACTGGACTGATAATCCAGAACCAAGATAAAGTTCTGGGGATAAGGGAGGCAAATATCACCATGGCAGGTAGTTTGAATTCCAAATAAAATAATCTGGAATTAAACACCAGCATAAAACAATACGGGGAGGTGATGGCTTCGTGGTATTAGCGCTGGACTGTTAACCAGAGACCCAGGTAATGTTCTGGGGACTGAGGTTCAAATCCCACCACAGCTGATGGAGGAGCCAATAAAGATCAGGACCTAACAGTCTAAATGATAACCATGACTCCATTGTTGATTGTTGGGAGGAAAAACCCATCTAGTTCACTAATGCCCTTTGTGCTGTCCTTGTCTGGTCTGCATGTGACTCCAGACCCACAGCAATATGGTTGACTCTGGGCAATTAGGGATGGGCAATAAATGCTGCCTGGCTAGTGATGCCCTCATCTGTGAATGAATTTTAAAAAAGAACTTATGCAAACTCAGCTGATTTTTTTAAAAAACAGACGCATCTGCTTCATTAATACCCAAGGAAAGCATGGCCCCTATGTGACTCCAGATGCACAGTGAGGTGATTGACTCTTAACTATCCTCTAAAATGGCATAGCAAGCCATTCAGTTCCAAAATATTTAGGGCATGCTGACTTAGCCAGTGTTGCCCACATCCTACCGTAAAATAAAAAAGTCAGTTTAATCAAATCATTAACTATTACAATCAGAGGATGGGTCACCGGAACGGAAATGTTAACTCTGTTTTTTCCTTCACAGATGCTGCCAGAGCTGCTGAGCTTTTCCAGCAACTTTGTTTTAGTAACTATTACAATCCTTGTGTTTGGATACAACACCATATTGCTAACAATTCAGGAGTTGCCATGGCAACAGTAAATGTCTGGATTTTGCATCTCCTGATGCCATCTGCTGGAAATCAGAATTTTAAAATAAATATGAAATGATCCTAATTTAACATACATAAAATGTTATGGAGCTGGATAATAGAATTTGGTTGTGATGAAGACCAAATTAAGATACTTCTAACATCTGCTGATCTAAAATGTACCTAATATTGCTCATTGAGTGTGATTAGATTCAATCTTTGCTGCTATTTCTGACTGAATCAGTTCTGTAAAAGGCAGCTGTCTTTTATAGAACACATTTAACAGCCAAATAACAAGTCTATACATTATCAACAACATTCCTTATGGAGAATTTCTCATTATTCGTGTCCACAGCTAATATCTGGTGATATTGCTTCATCGCACTTTTAACAGGATTTGTTGGAATCACTGTTTCTGCAAACTGTTTGCTGGCTTGCTTAATGAACTAAATCTCAATGTTCTCCATTCAGGCACCACCTGACTTTAAGAGCAGAGACATTGTTAAATGGTATTTTTTGTCAATTTGTTTTTTAAAAATTTTTGATCACTTTATGGGTTAGTATGTTTGCAGATGGCACCAGAATTGGGCAGTACAGTGGCTCAGTGGTTAGCACCGCTGCCTCACAGTTCAAGTGACCTGGGTTCGGTTCCACCCTTGGGTGACTGTCTGTATGGAGTTTGCACGTTCTCCCCATGTCTGTGTGGGTTTGCTCCAGTTTCCTCCCACAGTCCAAAGATGTGCAGGGTAGGTGGATTGGCCATGCTAAATTGTCCATAGTGTTCAGGGATGTGTAGAGTGGGTGGGATGCTCTGTGGGTCAGTGTGGACTTGTTGGGCTGAAGGGCCTGTTTCCACACTGTAGGGATTCTATGACTTATATCCTCTTTTTAAATCTCTCACTGATTTCTTTTTCTTCATCGATATCCCCACTTCCCATCATGTATCACCAGGATTGCAGCATTAAAACTTATTGTAGAATCCCTACAGTGTGGAAACAGGCCATTCAGTCCAACAAGTCCATACCGCCCCTCTGAACAGCATCCCACCCAGACCCATCCCCATCCCCATTCCCATCCCCCTACTCTTTTCCCTGTAACCCTACATTTCCCATGTCTAATCCACCTAACTTACACATTTCATGGGCAATTTTACCATGACCAATCCACTTAACCCACACATCTTTGGCCTGTGGAAGGAAACCGGAGCATCCAGCAGAAACCCACGCAGATATGGGGAAATTGTGCAAGCCCCATACAGAGGGGGGAATCGAACACAGGTCCCTGGCGCTATGAGAAAGCAGTGCTAACCACTGAGCTACTGCCAAATCAAAGGATAATGCAAATACAAAATAGTAAATAGTAAACAAACTGTCGTATTTCAAAAAATCGCATCATAGAGCAACACTGAGGAGAGATGCTATTGTGTAGACCTCATGCTAAGTTTGAAGGTGTAAATAATTCATAGAATGTTGGAGGAATAGTAATCCTAAAATCATGTCAGACCACAGCAACTTCAGGTACCCAGTCTCTTCCAAGATTACCGCTACAACCGGATTGAGCTTACAATTCCTACACATGTATTAGTTTAATTTCAGTGCAATTTTAGTTCTAAAGAAATAAAATGTGTTTGTGCCACATCTGACTCCAAAGATATGTCAGTGCAGTGGCCTACTACCATCTGTGCCTTATCTTTTATTCATTCATGGGAGTTGCTGGCTAGGTCAGCATTCATTGCTCATCCCAGAGGGCAGTTAAGAATAAACCAGATTGCTATTGGTCTAAAGTTGCCTCATTTGGCCCTTGCAATTTTCTCCTGTTGAGATTCCCATTTGGCCATATCACATCACCTCCCCTGCTCTAAATCACTTACTGTTATAGAGTTATAGAGTCATACAGCACGGAAACAGACCCTTCGGTCCAACTCATCTATGCTGACCAGTTATCCCAAACTTAACTAGTCCCATTTGCCTGCATTTGGTCCATATACCTCTAAAACCTTTCCTATTCGTGTACCTGTCCAAATGTCTTTTAAATGCTGTAATTGTATCTGCCTCTATCACTTCCTCTGGCATCTTATTCCATATATGGACCATCTTCTGCATGAAATAATTTGCTCCTCAGGTCCCTTTTAAATCTTTCCCCTCTTACCTTAAACCTATGCACTCTAGTTTTGGAGTCCTCAACCCTTGGAAAAAGCCCTTGGTTATTCACCTTATCTTTGCCCCTCATGACTTAATGAACCTCTATAAGGTCACCGCTCAACTTCTGATGCTCCAGGGGAAAATGTCCCAGCCTGTCCAACCTCTTCTTATAACTCGAATTCTCCAGTCCTTGCAACATTCTTGTAAATTTTCTTTGTACCCTTTCTAGTTTAGCAATATCCTTCCTATAGCAGGGTGACCAAAATTGTACGCAGTATTCCAAAAATGGTCTCACCAATGTCCTGTACAGCCCCAATATGACATCCCAACACTTATACTCATTATTCTGACCAAATGAAGGCAAGTGCGACAAATGCCTTCTTTACCATCCTTTCTACCTGCAATGCCACTTTCACGGAAATGTGAACCTACATCCTTAGGTATCTCTGTTCAACAACACTTCCAAGGACCCTACCATTAAATGTGTAAGTCCTGTCCTGGTTTGCCTTAGCAAAATACTACACCTCACACTTATCTAAAATAAATTCCATCTGTCACTTTCTGGCCCATTGGCTCAACTGATCAAGAGCTTATTGTACTCTTAGATAATGTGCTTAACTGTCCATTACATGACCCGTTGTTATCAGACTTTTGAATGGACCTCTTTAATATTAAGAGGTAGTAGGAACTGCAGATGCTGGAGAAATTCTGAGATAACAAGGTGTAGAGCTGGATGAACACAGCAGGCCAAGCTGCATCAGAGGAGCAGGAAGGCTGACGTTTAGGGCCTAGGCCCTTCTTCAGAAATGTTCTTCAGCATGTTAAATATTCCCTTGTGATCTAGCTAAGGATTTAATTTGCCCGGATCAGGCCCTGCCTAAGATTCTTGCCGCATTCCCAGGCTGGAATTGTGAGATCTTGTTGATCATTTCTGGTTCAGGAAAGTTCTGAAGAAGGGTCTAGGCCTGAAACGTCAGCCTTCCTGCTCCCCTGATGCTGCTTGGCCTGCTGTGTTTATCCAGCTCTACACCTTGTTATCTCTTTAATATTAATGTTGGTTTCTCTCTGCAGTTTCTTGGCACCTGTAACACTGTATCCTGCACTCTGTTCTGCTATCCTGATGCACTTGTATAGTATGACCTGCCTGTAAAGCATGTAAGACAACACTTTTCACCATACTTTGTTACATGTGACAGTAATAAATCAAATCAAATCAAATGACCAATTTTGGTGTCATCCGCAAACTTACTAGCCATACTTTCTATATTTTCATCCAATTCGTTGATATGAATGACGCACAATGTGGACCTAGTACTGATCCTTCACAACGACACTGTTCTTCACAAAGACATTGTGTCTGCCTCAGAAAGTTGTAGGGCATGCAGCAGAGGTCAGTAGCTGTGCTTCTACCCCCTATCTCTCTGTAACCATCCTTTCCCTAATCAACTGGGCTGAATTTCTGCCAATTTGTGTGAATTATACTGGTGCAATCAGGAGGAATTGGCCAAACCAGCACAAAAGATTGAGGCATGTTAAATATTCCCTTGTGATCTAGCTAAGGATTTAATTTGCCCGGATCAGGCCCTGCCTAAGATTCTTGCCACATTCCGAGGCTGGAATTGTGAGATCTTGTTGATCATTTCTGGTTCAGGAAAGTTCTTTAAATTGGATCA